TTTCTTTCAGTTGTTTCAGTAAAAGCAGCCTCCTAAAGCCCATAACAACAGGGCAAAGTACTAACTGCACCTTGAATAATGATGTTCTGACTGAGCCCCGCAGTAAATGCAGAACTCCCAAACTGTGTCCCTTTCACCATTTCTGAGCCAGTGATGAAACTGCCATTTCCCTCTTTTCTCCTTCTACCACTTGTTAGTACGTACTGATACACTTGGGGGTTTTGCAACACAAAACAGATCTAGCCATTTCACTTCAAAATTTAAAGAAGTTTCTTGAAATATAAAAATTAGTCTAACAACAAGATTTTCCAGCTTGTAGATTTCCTTCGCCTTAGCATTTCAGTTCAGTTTGTACACTTGCTCTGGTCTACAAGAAGAGCACAATACTATGGTAATATAAATAATATGATAACTTCTAGAATGGTTTCAATTACAGTCTTTCTTGACTGTAGCTTACAATCAGCATATATCTGAGCTTCACTTCTCAGAATCCCTGTAATTTAAAACAAAAACTACACACAATCCAGTACATACTTTTTTAAAGGAGCATTAGTATAGGCTTTGTCGGACACCACTTTCTTTTTAGATTTAAAATACAGTTTCTGTATTTGAACATGATTCAGAAATATCCCAAACTTTTACTACAAGATTACTGATGCATTAAAAAAAATCTTCAAAATATTTCCTAAATTATTCAAGAATCACGATAATCTGCCATTACAAGAGCCACATTACTTATTCACACATTTTTTCTTCTTTGAAGTAGTTACACTGTAGGTTACACCATGTATTACATTATTTACAACCCTCGGATTAGCAAATTACATTACCTGGAAGATTATCATGGAGCCACACTGAGGTAAATATATTTGCTATCTGCCTCATTCTTTTAACAGTATCTGTCATTCCTGCAGCACGGTTAAAAGCCTTCTTTTTTCCAAGTTCTGGGCTACAGCATTCTTTAGAAGAAACTACCAAGAAAAGAAAATGGAAGCACTTCTCAAAATTTAAGATGCATGAAAAACTGACTGCTGAGCATTAACGTCCTGCATGTTACCTTGGTGATTTCTTCCAGCAATGTATGTTTCAGTACTTCAGTGGTGAAGTTTCTTCCCCCAACATTAGTGAAACACGTGTGACTTAGTCATGTTTACCAATTAACTTTTAAATTGTACTTTAGAGAAAAGGAATTGACAGTTTGCCCTACAGATGAGACAACATACAGAAGTTAAACTTAATTTTTAGAAAGTATCTTATCACCCTTTATTTTCAGGTGCTTCACAACAATATGACAAAATAAAGTATCACAATCAGTTTTATGTAAATAAAAAAATGATTATCAGCAAGTTCCAAATCTCTATATATCGAATACAATCAATCATAAATAAAAAACATGCATTAAATTAAAACTGCTTCTAGATTATAAAATATCATGTGACCCAGTTCTTTAAGACAATAGATTTTTCACAAATATATAACTTACATCTTATAAAAATTACAGAATACATTCTTACTTTTATTATATTACTGTATTATTGCATTATGAAAGAAAATGTAAGTGACTATTAATGATACATTTGAGAGGCATTTCAAAGGTTTCATTATGAATTAATAAAACTATGTCTTTCAATACAACCTTCCCTGTGTAGTTGGGTTAATTTTTCATTGCTTAACAGCTTTGCATACTAGATCTGAAATCTTAAAGAGATCAAGTCAGGCACATATATTTAAAATGAGGACTCACAAACACAGCATAATGTAAATCTGAACTTGCTTTCTTAAAGCCATTGCATAGCACCTTTACTAGAAATTATTAATACACAGATGTGGCTACAGTTCCTTGCAGTTATCTGGAACAAGCCATCTGTAGAGTATGATCTAAAATGTGGAGGTTCAGATGTCTGAAGAGGACAAGCACCTTTTTAGATTTGACAAAGGAACACTTCACAAAATGGCAGCTGAGTAGTAAAGATTCACAGTCACCATTCCAGTATTGTATGAGAACAGATCAGTAATCTGATTTGGGTGCCTTCATTTCAGCAAATACATTCCAAACTTCTCTCCATCTTTTTTGGTACCTCTAGCAATTTCTCTTATCGTGTATCTCACATGGGTGGACAAGACAATGACTGACTAATAGAAGTTTATGTTCACAAAGAACTATTGTATCATATTCCAGGTTTTACTAAAAAATCCCGTCCCACTGTTAATAAATCTATGCTCTTGGGCAGGCAAATACCAGCTGAGAGATTGATTATGGTCTTTCTGAAAGCAGAGAACACACCCAGACAGGTTACAAAACTTTTCATACTACTTTTGTCTCATTTTCTTTGGCTGCAGACAGGGAAACAGTTGTCTTTAGCTGTATCTGTTTCAGTGCCAAAACAGAAGCCTCTAATTTTAGTCCCAAATTTTAGTTCCAGCATTCAACTGTGTGGGGATATTAAACAAAATTGACTGAAAACAAACACGCAAAAAATTACCATGTCTTGTAGGGAAGAATGAGAAATCTCAACTGACCCCAAAACTAAACTAAAAAGTGTCATCATGAGGCAAACCCTGGACTGGAATAAACCTGTGCTGGCTCACTCCTCTTGTCCACCAAGAAGAAATGACACAGCACAGGGATAGCATTTTATGAGCTCTAGAGCTGCATTCCTCATACTGTTCATTCATCAAATTTTAAGTTATGTCCCAGAAAACATATCTAAGACTTCGGAATGATGATTTAACTCTCAGGTATAGTTCTATTACAATTTTGCCCTAAAGAGGAATCTGAGACTGAAATACAGCCTAAGGACAGCTTTGCAAATCCTGTCCATTTTACAGCATGAACTTCTTGTAAGATCGAAGGTTGAAACACAAACTGCATGAAACATCTAATACTTGACTGCCCAACCACCAGCGATCTGCAGATCAGACGCTTTCAGTTCTGTCATGAGATTTCAGTGCTAATGACCTTAAAGTATGGTAAGGACCCAAACAGCTTTTGGCACTGCAGGTCCATTTTCAGGCCTGCTCTTGCCTGGGAAGTGCAGACATGCTTGTCCCTTAACAGCTACCCAAGGCAGCTTCTCTTCCTGCTCCCAGAAAACTAATTCCTGTGCATAGTTTTCCATTACGTACCAAAAAACATCACTACGGTAAAACCCTACAAAATCCATGCAAACCTGCATCACCTTACCTTTCTTGTTGACTTGCTGCAGTAGCGTATCGCTCAAAGGACCTAAGTTAGAATTTAAATAGAATCTAGGAGTAGAGCAGATGGCTTTTCCTTTATGCTTTTTATCCAGAATCTGATCAAAGGGAGACAGATAATAATACAATGTCTGCCATCCAGTCTTGCACTTCAAAATTATCATTTCTTCACCATTTTCACTTCCTGCCTTATGTCTTCATCCGTTTCCCTGGAAATGGTACACGAAGCCCAGCCATCTAATTTTTCTACTCCTCTCCCTGTGATGGAACACTAAATGTGTCTTGTCCAGGAGCTCTGTGAAGATTGATTTAATATCCTCTGATTGCTGCCTGAATTCTGACAGTTTCCTGGGCCTTAAGAAATAAAACACATTAAATTCTAAGTCAGGTGTCTCAAGCAAGTTTAACAGAATTCTTCTTCTTTAAACTTCACACTTACTAACTCTTCGTTGGACTCTGTGTAACAAAGTCCAACACTGTGCCTGAAATTTGGATTCCAAAATATCAATACTCATCTGTTTCTGAACCATCATAAAAGCCTTACTTACTCTTACGCTCATTCACCATTTGTGCCTTGTGCACACTCTACTGTGCACTATCCCCTCACAACTTCTGCTAGTCCCACGGTGACACCAGGAATTCTGTTTGCCCGTATTTCACCAGTCATTTGCCTTTGCATTAGCAGCCTTTAGAATAAGGAATCAGGTTGCAGAATCTCTTCTTCTCGAAAACAGGAGCAGATATCCCTTCACTGCTGGGAATACACTGATATGAAGCAGCATTTCTTTTCAGGTCAAAGTCTTCCAGCCAAACTACCTGTTTGTATAGCTTGTTATTCCTTCCCCTCATCAACTTTACAACAAAGCACATTTTTTCATTAATTGAAAGATAACAGACATCAAGGACAATGTACCAGCACAGTGTCCTTTTGCAGTTTATGTGTTAGGGGAGTGCCACAGCAGCTACAGATGAGATCACCTCTAGGCAGCAGGCTGATCACCACTGTGTACTGATAACGAGTTGTACTTTGTTCAAGGAAGACCAACAGATCTACTCCAGCCCTTCCAAGAGTGTTTTGAAGAGGAATGGAGGATGAACAGAAGTAGAGTGACATATACAATGATAAAGGTGGTGTTCAAAAGTTTCATCCTAGAAAACTTAATCTTTCTAATTTCATTCTTATGGAAAAAGACAGGATTTCACAGAAATCTTCCCAAGATCATTGGGTACTGCATACAAACTTACTGGAAAAAAAAGTTGGCTGCCTATTACCTCTGTCTATTACTTGTCAGCGCTTTAAACCTCAAATATTACAGGTTTCCAACTTCCTAAACATTGCTAATGCATTCTATATAAATTCAAACAGTATCAGTTTCTTGGATTAACCAATTTGCATACAGTTCTTCACAGTATTAGAAGAAAGTGAAAACTAATGCATAGTCTATAAGGGATGTTTCAGAAATGAATTGTGTTTTTCCTTCCAACTTAAGTGACATTTAAATACATAAGAAGCATGCAGGATAAGAATTCATTTCCGTTCACCTTTGTGAAAGAGGCAAGCAACAACACATGACTTTGCAATGAAAAAAAAGTGCCTTGTTTATACAAGCATTAAAGTTAATGCTATTTGTAGAACAACTGACTTTTTAAGGATACTCAGACCAATAAGAAGCTGCACTTCATTCCAGAGCTGAAAGAAAAAAAAAGCAGCCTCTGCAAACCCCACCATCACATTCTTCTTTCAGATCAATGAACAGCTAAGCCTAAGTATAGACATACATTTACATTTTCAAATATCCTTTGTGAAGTGACATTTATTAACAAGCTCGGCACAGAGAAACCTCATTGTGAGAAGACACTGACAAATCTCATTTTCTCAGTGTCTCGCTAATGACAATGAGTGAATTCTCACTGCTTGTAAGTAGTGAGAAACAAAACAGTCACTAGACAGAATCACCTAAGTCAATAATACAAACTGGGATATAAGAAAATACCTGATGTAATTATACCTCACAGAGTATGCATTGTAAGAGTTACTCCTTCCCTTCTTCCCTCCCCCTTATTTGTGAAACTTTGCAAAGATTTGTAAGCAGATTTGTCTTAGCTTCTGGTACTGTACATATCCACATCTTCCGGGCTGGACTGACCATGGTCCACAAGTTTTGGATCAGGCTTAAATTTTGGTGTCTTCACTGTTCCTGTTAAGAGATATTAAAGAAATTAATTTTTTAAAATATATATTAAATATATATATTTTTGAGCCATATATATATTACTTTGAGCCATGACACATTTTAAAAATTACTGTATTTACCAAACACAAAAGATCAAAATATGTATGTCCTAGTTAAAACTATGGAAGTGATACAGGACAACGAAGGCATGTTGTAGTTATGAGCATACAGCAGGTCTTCTTCCTACTCTTTACAGCTTAATACTACTTCCTGAACACAACAGGGTGAGAGAAGAAATAGTGATGCTTTGCCCTACACATGGAAAGGAAGGGAAAGTTTGGAAAAAAATCCAGTCTTTCTTCGCCCACTACTCCCAGGAGCACAGCTGTGTCCCAAACCCACCTGATCAGTATCTTCCCTGAAGCTGGTACCAGATGGTAAGAATTCCAAACGAAGACAAACACTCTTACCTAGTTTCACTTCCTGACTTGCAAAAGCAATGAACTAAGTTTACTGAAACACTGAGCCCTCACACTCATCCTGCATGAAGACTGACATATTTTATGATACTGTCATTCCAGAGGATGTAAGAGAGTGTAAAGGCAGGTTTTCTAGGACTGTGCCTCCTACTACTAGTCTGATGCTTCTCCAGCTACATCAGCTGCTTTAACAAAGGCTGTTACGGTCTCCTAAAAGCTTTGCCCCATTTAGACTAGTGAAAATAAAGTCTCTGACTCCACAGATTAATTCAGGGCATGGACATTTTTGGCTGTATTAGGGACATGAACTAATTCCATCCATGAAAGCAAAGACAGAAGATATCTATATCCATAAAACCATTAAAGACAGTCTGGCCTGAAGCAAATGTAAAAGCAGATCAAAGCATTCCACAAACTAAATCAGAAAAAACTACAGGTGCAAAGCAAAGAAAGATGTGAGTGTATATTATAGTGAAAATAAAAATAATTAAAACTCCATCCAAATATATTCTGCTTGCCATTCAGAAGAAAAAAAAAAGTTCTGGTAAAGAAGTAAGTTTAAGTGATGAGTAAAATTCAGAAACTGCTCCTACAAAAGTTTAACAGTGTTTTAAAACAAATTTAGTTCTCCTTTAATAGGTAATTCCACTATTTCTCTTAGTAACTGGCCTATCAAAATATCTGTATGATAAATATGCTGTTACATGATCTAGTTGATTATCTCAACCATTTAAGATGAACAAAGAACACCACTGCAAAAAACCTAGCAAAATAAAATCCAATGCTCTATTTGTCAATTATACATTCCTCTTTTACCAATATCTGGAGATACAGAACCCAGACAGAGAAATGAACAGTAATTCAAATTAGCAGTTGTCACAAAAATCCAGCAGTATTCCTTTAAATTACACTTACGGTATTCTGACAACAGAAGGATAATTTAAAGTAGGTCTCTAAGAGAAGTACTTGATGATATCTCATTGCTAACAATACAGGCAATGGTCCACACCACACGGAATGAAAGAAAACATTACTGAGAGAGGACAACACATATATAAGAATTCTGATATTGTGACAGGGTCCATGATGAGAAAATTATCACCTCCTCGAGGCTCTGAAGCATATATTAAATGACAGCGTGTACAACGCGTTCTCGAGAATAATACGCTATGACAGCCTGCTCCGTTTTAAAGCAAGGGTAGCTACAAAATTAAGTTGAGTAATTGGATTTGTGAGTTGCCCTGAGATTACACTTGAAATGTTTAATTCACCTGATGAAGGCACTGGGTCTTTATTACTCCAAGACTCTACTGGAGAAGATTCTGTTCTGTTAAATGATCTTGACTCAATAGCAGACTCAGGTTTTGTACTCGAAATTTGTTTCTTTTTCTTATCTTCTTCTGTAACTGATTTTGACTCTTGCTGCACCTGTGAACCAAACATTAATTAAAAACATGCACAAGGGTATATGCTTAATACATTATTTCAGACCTGAAAGCTCATTTTTTGAATGAAATTATTTTCAGATATGACATCATACAATGATACTCAGATAGTAACGTTAAAGCCAGCTGCACACAAGGGACACAGCTGGAAAAAATAAAATGCATGAAAGAACACCACAGTTCAGATACAATAACCTCAAATTCACATATAAGGCAATTTACTTTGTCGTGAGCATATACTTAAGTCTGATACTGTGCTTTTACCCGAGACTCTCCAAGTACTTCACAAGGAGGTCACTGTTCATCTGCAGACGACGAACCTATAGTCTTACACAAAACTGAAATTGCATTTAGTTTTTACAGGACACTTAGTACGTTAGTTAACAGAAGATGGAAAGATAAATCATAGTAACACCCTAGTAATGAAAAATAATAAAGTGTTTTGGGAACAGGCTTCACTCAGGGGAAAAAATAAAGTTGTTCTATAAATACTGCATCAATTTTTGTTTCGCTATCAGTTTAATGACATTTATCTGAATCTTATTTTCAAAGCTCAGAATTCCATTTGTGCTCCTCAGTGGAAATAAAAAGGTGAGGATTGCATACAAATGAACACCATAAATTTAAAGCAAAATACTTCTAAATGTTAATACAACCGAGAAACTGTCTTTTTTTTAAAAAAAAAAAAGGAAAAAAAATCACTGTGTAAAACTGAAATTTTACCTAGGGGAGTACTACTTTTGCTAAGGGTTTACGAATTTCCATTGGAGAAAAACCCTTTCAGGTTGCAGGAAAAAAAAAGTGTTTAATTCTGGGATGTAGTAACCCAAATTCTGTACGTAATTTCTGTGAGGTTAGTATTTCCCTTTACTTAGTGCTGGCAAGGCCTCACCTGGTTTACTATGTCCTTTTTTGACCACTTCACTTAAAAAAACCAAACACACACAAACACCCCTTAAAAAGAAGAGAGAAACTAGAGAAAGCTCAGAGAAGAATAAGAACTATATACGAGTTAGAAAGGCTGCTCTATAAGGAAAGGTTATACTAGGGAGAAGATAATGTCAAAAACTGTGATCAATTTTGTATACATAATAGGTCAATATAAAGAGGTTACTGACCATTTAGTCACTATGGCTGCAGTGAGGACAGACAAGAAAAAAAATAAAATCAGACATGGACAATTTATATCACAGGGGAATTAAAACAGACTACCTGGAAGGATTAAATATAAGGGATTCCTACATAAGAACAAGCTAGTCATACCTACTGTAATTCTGTGTGTCTATCTTAAATTCAATGGTCTGCTCAGGACCAAAGCTTGAATCAGAATGGATTATTGTGTCAAGATGAAAAATGAGTTAGAAGAGAAACTCAGTATTCTCTTGTGCATCTTGCACATATTGTGGGACTACATAGGGGGTCTCAGTATCTCCTGGTCTGAAAGGTAACAAATATGACATCAATTAATCACTGAAGTTACAAAAATATCAGAGGGGGCTTTGTGCTCCACTTGATCAATTAGTAATCTTCAACAGTATCAGCAGAATAGTACATGACCTTCTAATTTACTTTTTTTTCTCTCCCTTTGAATTTATGGGTTACAGGAAAGCCTACCTTAGTGACATCTTCCTTTTTTGCCCATAGTGATCGCACAGCTTCATAGGTTTGACGGCTTGCAGAAAATAACTTTCTCCCTGTTACCTATTTTTTTAGAAAAAATGTAACTTAACAACAGCTTTAAAAATACTAAGATACACAGACCATTCAAATGAAATGCATCTTATTTGCATGAGAACATGCTTGACCTCATACTAAGACATTTTAATCATCTACTTTTCAAGATTTAGTGCATATTTCTCTTACATCAAGCAAACCTGAAATAATGTTTACATAGGTACTAGAAATCCACAGGCAGCATTCACAGGCTATAACCCCCTACTCAAAAATGAAAATGAAACCTGATCAGCAAACAGTGTTTTGGCAATGTCAGCGCAAAGTTTTCTGTCAAATCTGATCATTTAACTAAAAGACTGGCAAGTCCTAGAACCAGACAAAACTTGCTAAACTAAATTTTCCTATCTCATCAGAAGTGCAGTTTTGAAACTATATATACAAAGTTCATCAAGGAACTACGAAGAATCCTTATGAAGCAGCATGTGCCTTTCTAAATAGGGAAACACTGGAAAACTATAGAGGAGAAAGAGATATATAGACTTTACATCCTGCTTTTCAATTCACTTTGTGTGTAGATAAGTACTATATGAAAATAATTCTTGCACACAAAATATTAAGTATAATTCTGCTTTTCTACATGAACAGCTAAGATATGTTCTATTCAAGTAGACAACAAGATGACAGTAATTAAAAACCAAGGAATTCTAACAGGAAATGCAATTGTACAGTATCTCAAATTGCCTATCTATCAAGTTTAATAAGGCTTTATTTTTTATTTACTTTTATTTCAACAAGATAATCTTTATTTACTTGAGAAATTAAGATTAAAAGTTGAGAGGCTGCATTTGTATATTCAGTTATTTCATCACCCCTGTGATGCCTTCTATGTTTTAATGAAGATGTATGTGAATTCTGAGTCCTAGTCCCATGATGCTTCATTCAAGTGAAATGGGATTGCTATGACTAAATTCACTGTTAATCCAATATTCAAATACAAGTAAACTTACCTTGGCAATCACCACTGACTGAGCTGGGTAACAAACAGAAACTCCTAAAGCAGTAAGTCCCAAGGGATAAGCAATTTTCTTAAATCTAGAATCTGTATAAAGCCAAATATTTCAAATAATTAGACACTAATGAAATGTAAAGCTAAGCAGTTATATCAGTTAAGAACAACTTTTTAACCGTTGCTTACATCAAACTTATCCCCATTAGGGCTGGAGAAGAGAATACAGGATGTGATTATAGTTTAGTGCAATTACATTTGCAGGAGATACTGATATTCTGAACAGAAATAATCCCACATTAGATTTTCCCATGTTGTGAAAAATGAGAACGTCTGTGTCATCCAGGAGCTGCTGTGGTTCTTCACCAGCTCCACACACACTCTCTGGAGGACACAGACTGCAGCCCCTGGAGCAGCCAGGAGCCTGGAAACTGGGGCCTCTTTGTTCAAACGCAAGAACAGCTGGGCCAGGCCCAGGTTCCTGTTTGTTGACAAGGAGCCCTGATGAAAGATTCTCAAGCCCAAGCCTTTTTTTCTTTTTTTTTTTAAAAAAAAATCTGTCCACCAAAAAGTAACAGGGATACAAGATAACTCTTTTTCTAATTTGTCAGTATTCTGATTAACCTCTTTACTTCGGAAATATTCAGACAGACACACACTCAGGTGGTACAGATTAACATTTTGTGAACAATATTTCCTGGCAGGTTAAGTATTAGTCCTCCAATATTTCTCTTGAAAGGAGAGGTGGCTGTATCTATTCAATTACCCTTTTGGCTTCGAAGCTGCCAAAACCCTCCCTTCCGCTGTGTATTCTCTTGTACCTGTTTGACAAATGCCAACACTCTTTAGCTTCTTTCTTCTAAGTTCCCTTAGTTTTCACTATATTCAGTAACCTTAGCGGTTCATTTGTCTTTAATTTCCTCCCATATACACAGCTTTTGAAAACCAACAATGAACAGACTCAAAACAAGTGTCCTACTCTGAATTTCTGTTGAAACAATCCTGCTCTGTGTGGTCTTTGCCAGCTTCTAAAAGAAATATTTAATAATATCCCTTCAATTTATCAGGAAGGATTTTTTTTTTTTTTGTAATACTAGTTACACAGGTTTTTGCCCATGTTTCAAAAAAATCTTTTGACCATTAAAATTACTACATATTCAACACACCAATAACAAAAAGTAAGCCAAACACCCTACCTTTTCTTGCCAGCACTATGCCAGCTAGGCCTGATACTGTAATTACACCAACTTTGGGAAGAAATTCTGGTGGTGGATTCTTCAGGTAAACATAAGCATCTTAAAATTAAACAAAATAAAAAATAAAAGAAAAGCAGCATAGCAATTCAATATTAATCTTTTTATTTCTTAAGTGGGAAATAAAACAAAGATGGAAGTAAAATTATAAATATCCCAAACTGAAAACAGTCCAAGACTAGATTTTTTGTTAATGAATGAAGCTGCCTTATTTTCCAGGTGCACAGTCTGCAGTCTGTCTCAAAACACAGCAGCAAAGCTAACAGTTGTTCCCCTTAGATACTTTTTTATGTCTTGTAAAATGTTAGTCCTTAATAAAGGAAAAGGAGAGTTTTAGGTTTGGATTTTACTTTGAGTTAATATAAATTCAATAATACAATACATATTTCAGAATCTCCAAATATACTATTTTATGGAAAATAACTTTTAACTATAGTTTCTGATACTGAACTTGAATGCGAATACTACTTGTAACTTGTGGTGGAATTAAGAAGCCTGTTTTATAATTAAGGGAGGCTGTGGAATTTCCACCCCTGGAGATGTTCAAGACCTGACTGGACAGAGATGTAAGCAACCTGCTTTGGCCCTGCTTTAAGCAGGTGACTGGACTAGACTATAGAGGTGTCTCTACAGAAAGCTCTATGAATCTATAGACCTTCCAGTTCCAATGATTCCAGGATACTGTTATTTTAAAATTAAGATCAAAGGAAAAAGAAATACTATTTAACTGGTCATTCCTCCCAGTTGAGGAAAGCTAGGAAAAGCCACACTGAATTAAAAGTCATCCCAGATTTTTCCCTTCACACTTGCAGAAAGTTTTCCAGTACCCTCCCTTCCACCCTGTCCTTCTCCTCTCCCCTGTAACCAGAATTTGCTGTTTCAACCATCTGTCTGTGACAAGGGGAAACAACAGAAAATGCTCAGTTCAAAAATATGTGATGTGCCTACCTTTTCCAAACTGAATTGAATCCACTATTCCATTTTTAACAAAGACAAAAGCATCCTAAAAAAAAAACCAAAATAAATGTAAAATCTTTGTAAAAGTAGATGTTTTCAGTACAAAACTACTCAACTGATACATACTGCTCAGAACAATGAGACAAATATTATGTAACAAAAAAACCCAGATCAGTGAACTTCTACAGAGGCAGTGTTGAGATCTATACCATTTTTGAATACCGTATTTGTATTTTTAAAACTTCTATCCATATTTAATTTCAAAAAAAATCTCTTTAATATAGCAAGAACACTTTCAAAATTGACATCTCGGGAACAAAACTGTAGGGAGGCAAAACATCTGGATGCCAACGGTATAACATAAGGAAATTCAATTATAAAATACAATCTCCTCTTCCCTAGAGAGACGTACCCATTAAAACTGACTTTGTAAAAAGTGCTCAGTTTCGCTGAAGACAAGCAACACTAACTTGATCTAAGATGTGTGCTCAACTAGTTTGCATCACTGCCTTCAAACTGCTCAATTTATTTAATTACAAGTTTTTCTTTATCCAGAAAAAATCCCCTTCTATTAGCCTATTATTAGTATCATTGTCCTCAGAATGCTAATCAAATTGAGTAAATACTCATTTTTTAGAAGATTAATGAAAAAGAACATGATCTCGAGTTATTTCATTTGTTTGCAGTAACACCGAATTTGTACCACCAGAGGTCACTGCTAGTCAATCTCTGAAACACCCACTTGATGACCAAGGGCATGGAAAAGTTGGATACAGATTTATACCTAAATTATTTCAGTTATACAGTCACTGACAAATTTTTCACAGACCAATGGAATAAAAATTTACACAAAATACAGGAAGACATTTTGATTTCCTTGCCTTTTTCAAATAATAGCATCTATTTTGTTTGTAAGAGAAAAACAACAGCATGAAATTTCTTATATCAACAACAGCCAGGGTAAAGAGTTGTGGTTTACCAGCAGTTAAGAGAATGGTGACAGGCATCACATTTTCATCTATGTCTGGAATATTCAATAACAGTGGGGAGGTATTTTTGATGACTAGTTAATAATAGCCTGCTTTCACAGCTGTACTGGATGCACTCAGTTTGCCTTTCCTAAAGTACCTAAATCAGGTCTTTTCAACCCTCCTTTAGATGCGGCTCACTCTCCCTCCATGGAATTTCAGACTCCTAAATGCTATCAAGTTCTGCTAGCAAGAATTTACCTACGTGACTCCTGTTGCTGTAGAATTTAACCAAGAGAGATTTCTGAACCTGACACTGTGGGTTGGCCTAGGTCTAGTTTAGCACTAACTGAAACAGACCTCTCTGATCTCACTGCTTTATGATTTGGAAAAGGGGGAGAATGCACAGGTTCCCTGTTACAAGCATGGTAAGAGAAAAAGGAGAGAAGGGTTCATTTTTGCATCTTAAATTGTAGGTGCATGCTAATACAAGGAACTGAAAAAATCTTCAGGGTGAAGTATGCAAGTTTTTCAATGCTTCAGTTAAGTGCTGTCAGGAATTGTAGAAAACTTTGGATGCAGGTATTTCTTACCTTGAACCACCCAATATAGCGGCCTGTTGTCTGTCTTACTGAAGAAAATTGCCTCTGCAAGTAACCAGGCTGTTCTTCAATGTATTTCAATCTCAGAGGCGGTGGACAGTAAATTGGAAGCTGGAAAGAAAAGCATAACAGTACCACAGGGACACAGTTTCGTGTACTGATTAGTGTTTACACTGACAGGTGTTTTGCAAGACTGCAAATCCTTAGTGTTCCCATTACCACGAACAAAACCTCTGTATCAAGTTATGCTCTTTTATATTTACAACCTTACTTTACACAAGCGTGGCTACAGGTTAATTCTTGAGAAAACTGCAAGTATTGTCTAGGTTCTAAGAAGCAGAACTACTGACTGATAAAAATAGCTTTTATTCAGAGAAAGCATGAGCAAGGATAGCTGGAAGATGCATGCATGTATTACTAGAAATTGTACAACATAATATCAGTATTATACTCTAACCTTTTCTAGCTTCAGTCTGAAAATAATGTAGTAATGAAAATGAGATAAAACTATTGTAACACTTCATGTTCTCTTTGTGCTGTAGTGGTCAGTTAGAAGGTAATTGTTATTATCACATCCTACTGAGCTATGTATTTTATTTACTGGGTGACATAATTCAATGGAAAGAGGTGGTATTCTGCAGGTTCTAGTATTATTTTAAAGACTAACAAACAGTAAGATTCTTACCTGATTTGGCTTCACCAGCTGACCTTTTGATTCCTGTTCTGTTGCCGCATATACAGTAATACATGCAAATGGCAGACCAGAAGAAACAGCTGCCAGCTTTGCCACCTGTGACAGACAGATGAAAAAAGGGAGTCTTAATGCAGAAATAACAAATTCACTTCAGTAAAGTCTGGATTTTACTACTGTGTTGTGCTTGAGCAAATATGGGATTAAACAGGTCACTTTTAAAACCTTTTAAAAACAGTATGCCTTTTAGGAACCTCTTCTACAAAGATTTTTTGCAAATTACAATGATAAAGAAAAAGCTAGAGATCACTGACAACAAAGTTATGTCTAAAATACCAGAAGAATTTTGTGTTCCAAGCATTGTTGATGCTTCCAGCATCCCTTAAGGTAAATTAAGTTCTAATCTATTCAACACACAGGTACTCCAAGTCAATGAATGACTCTTGTTTCAGAAAAAATCACCTCAACTTTATCTACAGGAATTCTCCATGATGTCAGACAAAATCTCATCTCCTTCCCCATTCACAGAACGGTTCAACTACCGTCTGTTTGGAATAACTGCGTGTCAACAATAAATGAAAATACACAGCAATAACTGGAATTAAGAACCACCTGCTTAACCTTTTGAATCATGGATATCACAATGCAAATTACAGAAATATAGGTTTGGTCATGAGTGTTTGATGTCTACTTAGAACATTAACGTGGGAAGAAGCATCGTATATTGCACAAAGCTTAAACTCAAATACATCTTCACATGAATATTTTTTAAATGACTGCCTTAAGATGCCAGCCAGAGCTGGCATTAAGTACACTGGCATACCATATTTTTAAAAACTTGCCACAATATGTTGAAGCATCTGCCACTTCGGTAGATTACGGTTGCTTATACATGTGAAGACTTTTCTGTTCTGTTCTTTACCTGAAGCATTTCTGAAACTTGAAAAATGTGAAAACAAGTATGAAAAACGTTCCCAGGATCTGCCTAGAGCTGATGGTGGTAGAGTACCAGGAAAACAGAAAAGAAGGGAAAAAAACCAACTTGATTTTGGGAAATACCTTAAATCCCTAGTATAAAACTCTACTATATCCTCATTGTTATCTCATCTTTCAAAGGAGTGGGGTTTACTCCACAGCGTTTAGTTATAGTGATGAAAACACAACAAACGTGAAGAAACGCAAAAGCACCATCCTGAATTAACTCAGGTTCACCAGACATCGATCACATGCAGATTAAACTACTCAAGACAGCAAAACACCACCACTTCTAAAGTAACTGTGCGATCATCATAGCAAAACTTCAGGATCACACAATCATGGTGAAACACAAAGCTGTGGGAGAGTGGAGGAGACAAAGGACGCTGCAATGATGAGGACTGTTAGGAAAGAAGGGGCAAGCAGGCAATGTCAGAGCTGAAAGCTCTAATGTATCTTACTAAAAATTATTCTTCAGTTGCATTTTCTGGCATGGGGACTAAGGGGGGGGTTACTTAAGTTTTCTTTATGCTGATGGTCTTTATTAATACACAGTATTCCCGCTCTTATACAGAGCTGGTGTGCCCCTTCCCTCAGCCTGAAGCACAAACCCTTCTTGTCAGCATAACTATAGCACCACCCTAAAACCTGGCTAGGGGCAGACAGAACCCCACCACTTTTTCTCTTCACGCCAGGTTGACATTATGAATTTTTTTAACAGTTACATCACCTGGAAGCGTCAAAATCCCCCACAGCTCCAGCACAGCCGGGCTGGCAAATCTCAGCTGGCAAGGCCACTCTGCAAACGCACCCATGTTGACCAGCATGAACTATTCTCTTAATTTACACTAGTGACAGAGCAAAACACTTCACCTTTGCAGATGAAGCATAACAGGCCTGGGGGCTCTGAACGGCCACCACATCGAGGTGACAGCCAGGGGGGACAGGGACAGGATGAAGATGAAGGCAGAGGCTGAGCGAGCTCCTCCTCCCACAGAGGCAGGCAGCCACTCAGCCAGGACTTGTGATAGCCACTGCCCATTTCCTCGCCCGGGCAGGGAGGGTTTACACACACCCCACACACACCCCACACACACCCAGGCATGGGAGCAGACACTTTGCAAGTTAAGCCAACAACACGTCTAGATTTGGAGGGGTGAGGGTGGGGGGAATACCAAAAATCACGTTACTAAAAACCTGTGTTTTTCCCATGTTGACATAGCTATGCTGGCAAGCATGGACACGGTCAGAAGGAAGATGACGGTGACAGCACTTCCAGAAATCTAGAGAGAAAAGTCCTACATATATGAAAATACAGCCATGCTGATACATGTATACTGACCAGCACCGTGCAAAAATTCAGTTAGTCACATGTTGACAACAGGTTTAACATACAACGCTGATTAATGTTAAACATCGATGATTTAACACACTTAGTACAACTCTGGTTACAACTGCTATACTGAGGAGTACTTGTCATTTTTTCTTTCGATGCCTAACATGACCACTTCAGCAGAAAAAGTCACCTGGAAGCTCTGTCAAGTCCACTGTGCCCACCCAGCACAGGAGAGCAGCTCGCCCAGCACTGAACAGCCCCAGGATACAGAAAATAAGTGAGAGAGGATGGCAATAATCAGAATATGAACCAATTAACACAGTAACTGTCTTTCTGGTAATGCTGCTTAGAGCAAAATGCCAGTCTGATCTACAGAAGATTATTGATAAAGGGACACGCACCCTCAAAGAGTCTGTATTTTTAAAGCATCATTAAAGTAAATGGTTTAAAATATATCGTAATTCAGATTGCCTCTTTCAGTACACGATGCTACCAAGACAACGTCCCAATATTCAGTAGATACTAGAAGAAAAATTAAATTAGAAGTGAGAAACCATGAAAAAGTTATATCCTTCACTTAACAATTTTGATTAATTTGTTCTAGAAATTCACAAGTTCTTTGTGCTAAATGTAAAAGAGAAAGCTGTACCAGGAATGATGAAAGTAGTCCAGTTCCTGACTGACAGTAATTGCTTCACTTTTGGATGCCTGAAGACAAATGCATAAATGTTTAAAAATCCAAGCGAACAGCTGTACTACCTAACATTTACACTGGCACAATTATTCCAAGGCTTCACTCTTTTCTATTGAGATCACAAAGAACTGAGGTGAAAGAAAAGCAACGTCACCTTGACTACATAAGAAGGTTCACTACTTTGAGCTGTCTATCCTATTCCTTTATCTAATGACTAGGTGTATTAAAAAACCTCAATTAGCTAAGTTGTTTCTTATTATTTTATTAAAATTACTTCAAAGAATATGAATTAAACAAGGAAAATCAGATAAAATCAGCTACTGTTTAGCTAAAGCAATTAATAGATATTTTACTCATGGAATCTTTTAAAAGAAGTTATTGAGAACTAAGAAATGCCAGGATCATGTAGTTGTATCAAAGCCTTGGAAAGAAGTACAGAAAAAAAACCCTTCAAGAAGCTCAAGCTGTAAAAAATTCTGGAATTACATGGTCAGCCAGTAGAATGGCTCCAGAACATCAGTCAGTAAGTGATTCAAACCAATGTTCTCTTTAATAAATTCAGGAATTTTTATTTTTTTTTTTACTTTAATAGTTCAACATCTGCTCTCCATTTTACTACTAGTTCTTCTTTTATATGAATTAATGCTCTGACCTAAGCCCTATGAGACCAACAAAAGAAAATCACCCAGTCCCTAATGGCGGCAGATCTAAATGCCAGCAGTTACAAAAGCCACAAGCCCAGATGACATCTTCTGGAGATTAATTCAGTATGAACATAGATCTAAACATCACCAGAACTGCAGATATTAGAAACAACCAGCCTTAATGCTCTGGATGGAGGCAGGGGGGAAGGTCAATGGCAAGAGTCAGAAGATTTCCAGTAATACCAGTGCCACGCTCCTGACACTGCCATCACCCTGCAACACATAGTACCAGCAGGTTGGTTTTTTTCCCCAGACATAAAAAGCACACTGGTTATTCCAAAGCACTAAAAAGTGCAGCCTAACAGACATGGCATTCTTTTTGATGAGAAGACTGAATAGCAACCATTTGCTGAAGAAATTTATTATACGCTCTCTAGCAGAAAATTGTTACAGATATGTCTCTTAATAGTAGAGCTAGAGTAAAACTAATCAAAATATAGTAATAAAACTGTCAAATGTACCTGGATAGTTCTGGCTTTGTTTGCATTTCAAACAATCTACTTCAAAGTGTTAGAATCTTATCAAAGATCAGAAATACAGATTCTACTAAAAAAATTTAAAACTACGTCAACAAAAAGAATTCGCTGTCTTCAATAAAAAAGATGCAGAACACAAACTAAAGCTTAATAAAACCATATATTTAATTTATGCTAATCTCCAAGACGTTAAGTATTGTTTCTCACTGAAACTGCAAATTCTGTATCCTTGCTTCAAGAATTGGAGGACAAATAAGGAAACTTGCCCTGAAGGTAGGAACAAGCCTCAAAATCAAAACAGGTAATCAAAGGAGTATATGCAAAATCCTGATGCATGTATATATATGTAAAAATACATATATAAAAATATATGTACCTTCTATATCATAAAATCAGAATCTACTAGCCAGATTAAAATAAGATTAACATTTTAGCAGCTGCTGGATGTTACATTTTCATTGGAGAGCTGTTAGTCCAGGAGTAAGAAGCACAAGTTTATGGTTTTCTGCTACCACTTAGATACCTTGAGGTAGAACAGAAAACTGTCTCAGATTGTTTTATTTTTCCCAGAAGCTACATAAAACATGAAAATTGTCAGAAGTTTCCAGGCCAAATCCAGTATTTTAATCTGGATATGTGTTTACAAATCTGTAATGACAGCTGCAAAAAACCCACACACAAGTGGAACAAAGTATCATTCCACTTCAAACTCAACTTACTGATACTCCACAGATTTGTTTATAATCTTTGTCTGTCGGATGGTAACCCACGGAGAGTGAAAACTTAACAAAGAATAAAAGTCTATTAATTTTTCATAGTAAATAATAAAGAACACAAGTTACGTTACATCATTTCACTAAAGGTACTGAAACATTCCAATTTATGTACTAAACGATATTACTTCAAGATCACCCAGGCATACAGCGAAGCCAAACACGGTTTCTTTTTTCAGGTACTTGTCTGATAACAAACTAAGGCAAAAACACTTCATTTTCATTCCCTTGGCTGTCCTCATTTGCACCATCTTTTTCTTTGCAGGTACATACAGATTTTAAATGCTTTGCCAAAATAAACATGAGGATACACGTGAGAGCAACCCATTCACCAATGTGACTATGAAAACTGGAAAGCCTGTTTAAATGTTTGAGAGAAAGCCTAGCTCTTGACAGGCACATCGTTCCCTGCTTAAAGACACTGTATTATCTCTACAATTAAAGATATTTTTGATACTCGTGACCCTGTCGGTTTGTAACTGAGTGATTTTAAGATCCTCATTTTAGTGATGTAGAACACCACTACACTTTACCGCCAAATTAGTACCTTGGTATTTCATCTCTCGAGTAAGGAGGGGAAGGTGTTTCAGAAGTTGTAAGCGGACGGAGAACAACCCCAAGAGAACTACTACTTCTACTCCCTGCCGTACAATTTAACCACCCTCTCAGCCCGGCTCTCTCTACCTCAAGTTCCGCATCGGAGAAAGCAGGAGACCGGTTATTTTCCTACTCCTCCTTCATCCGAGCCCCCGGTCCCCGGCTGAAGGGATGTCCCCACTCCCGAGATTCCCGACTTCCCGCCGGCTGGAGCCAGCCCCAGCGCACCGCTGGCAAGGGCCGCGCAGGGTGACCAGCGAGGGCTGGGCCAGCACCACCCCAGCGCCCCATGGGGCCT